TAATTTTTTGAAAGTAAGACAGACAAACATTAGTCCCTTTAAATATAGAAATTAAAAAAATTTAAATTATATATATAAAAGGACTAGAAAAAATCTGATATTTAAATTGTTTGCTACCTGCTAAGTGCTAACGTTATGGTCAAAAGAGCAGCTTTATGATGCCCACGTGCATAACCTAATCCAGAAGGCCCACACGGCAGCAGATCTGTCCGATTCTCTTATAATGAAAATGGTAGGGCCCAGGCCCATAATCATATACGCATGCATGAATGCTTCCTAGTTCCTTCCCCTTACCCATTACGGTGTAGTGACAGTGTCTGTTGAGTTTCGGTTTTGGAGTTTCCAAATGACTTTCATTTTTTTAGGCACCATGCCTTCTCCTTCACATGCTACAATGTTTGATCAACTTTTAAGCATTTTGGTAAGGATCCAAAAGGGTCTGATCTCTTTGAAAAAATTTTTTTTGAGGAAGATTCATTATGTATCTCTTTTCACACGCAAGTATGATGAAAATGGCCTAAAATCCCGGTCTCTGTCAATGCCATTTTGGCCACTACTAGACACTAACATGTCTTTACATTGATGTTACGTTGATATAAGAGAGTTAGAGTTACACTTAAAGGGATGTTTTAAGTAATTAAAAATTTAAAATTCTAAATTAGAGATTTTATATTGAAATTCTTAAAGTGGGTGTGAGGAGTTATGGGAAGAGAAGTGTTATTCTCGTTGAATAGCCCAATTAGATATACATATATTTTTCTTTTTTTAAAGGGGGGGGGGGTTTAATTGAAAGATATTTTGGGAGACATGCATGCTCCTTTACCTATTAATTAGTGCATGCTTCTCTCAATGTTGTTGATATTCTTTTGGCAAGAGATACATGTATAGACACTGAGGATTTGGATTATTTGAAGAGCATAGCTGGCAAGGCAGACAGGGTTTGTGGGTGAAATGAGTGAAATTGCTTTAAACAATTTCAGACTCTAATGTGGTGGAAAGATCCTTGTCCCTCAGGTGCCCACCACTTCCTTTCTTGCTTCATGATCTTTTCTGCGGACTTCCCAATTCCATAAGTCCATTCCAGCTAATTAATATCTACACATGCATAGAATGATCCCAAATGATTCACGTAAAAAGGTTTAATTTTGGAAGAGCTGATATATTATATGTAGTTAACACGCATTGGTACAGAGTAAGTCTAATTATACAATGAAAACATCTTAATTAAACACATATAAGAAGAACGTAGACATATAATTTCACATATATATTATCATTAAACTGCATTTCATATAAGAACACCAAATTCACCTCCACAAGGCATCTAAATATATAACTCTATCTGGCAGGGAGAGGGTAAGATTCCCCCCGTAGAGCAAAAGTTGCAATATATGACTTTTTGTTCAAAAGAATGATGATTATGATCTACTTTAAATCAAGGCAACTGTTTGTCTTAAAAAGCATTAATTATTCTGGCAACTTTTTCCCGTACGAACAAGACCAGATGTCTATCCTTCCTTCAACCCCGCAGTAGTCGTGTCCTTTAAGAGAGAAAGAGATCTAGAAAATCACCAGGAAACATAGACCCTGCATGATTATGTATGTTCTTTCTTGCTTAAAAACTTAAATGAACGCTCCAATGGAATATTTCTAGGAGGAGAAAGACCTGTGATTGAATTTTCATGGCAACTGAGAGCACCCACGAGCACACTACCTCTCACTGTTTCTCAGACACAAAGGCAGCTGTAGTTTATATTCTTTCTCCATAATATTCCAAACACATGTATTGAGAAGATCACTGTAGTAGTGTAGTCAATAACAGTTTTGCTATAAGGGGGGTTTTTTTTTTAATAGGACGATTAGTGGCTTGGAATAATAGATGTTTAAATCCTTGATTTTAATTCTAGATTAAAGTTTTTTTTTTTTTTGGTTAATGAGTATCAATTTGATTAAGTTTTTGATGGTTTATAAGAGTTAATTTGAATACTATATCATTCTAATACCAAATTAAGAATGAATTTACCTAGAAGCAAGTAAAATGGTAGTATTAATCTCAACAAACCAAGAAAACCAAAGAGAAGACAAAGATATATAAAATTGCTGAATGGAGTTAAGATTAATAGTTTTTCCTTAATAAACTTAGAGAAGAGGGATTGTTTAGTGAAGATTAAATGGCAGTTCCAGCTGATGAGAAGATTAATTTGTCTTGTAGTGGAGAATCATGGTGTGAGGCAGAGGCAGGTGTGGCTTCAAGACCATACGAAGCTCACGGCTTTAGGCAAAACCAAACGTGGACTACACTGCACTTATTCTCCGTAATTAAGGCACATCTGCTGTACAAAAACAAAGTTTCCATAGTTTTTGGGTAAAATTTTACTAAATATTCAACTAAAAAATGTCAAAATGTACCAACCCTATTAGCCCTAGCTCTCCAATTACTAGCTTAAAAGTTTGAAAAGATTTCCCATCAGTCCCTACCATATAGCTGTTGCTGCTCCCAGCTTGGGGAACAACCCATTATATAATCAGGGTTTCATGAACAGTGTCTATCTGCTCTTGCACCAAAACTAAACTAAGAAAACAAATAAATTTTTTTCTTGTGCAAGACCCTAGCTGTTTTGCTTTTGGTCTCTAGTGCACAGCATTTAGAGGGTTTTAGTTTTTACCCTAATAGGCATTCTCTTCTTATCTCTTTCTGTTTCCCTCTGCCTCTGAAATGAATTAATTTTACCCTAACAAAAACCCTCTCTCCTCACCTCTTTTTCCTGTCTCTGTACTGAATTTTGTTCTCAAGCCCAGTTTGTTTAGTTCATTGCTGTCAGGGATGAGTGGACATATGAACAAAGATAAAAATGGATTGATGGGTTGAGCTCATTGAATGGGAGGAACCAACCCAGTAGAAAGCTAGGGTTTCTAGTTCTGCATATTGCAACTTTCTTCAGCTTACAAATGTTCTCTTCCACCAACGACATGAACACTTTTGCTAACTTTCCTTCCGCCTCTTACCTATCTCTTCCTCCTTCTCTCATATGTCAGGATTCCAGTGAAATTTTCCTTCACAGCCACCATGATCTGCTCCCCGGTGCACTGGCACCTGTAAATCCTCAGATAACTGAGTATTTAATTAACATGCCAATGTTGAATAATCCCACATTGACTAAAAAGGTGGATGTCATTGATAGCCTGAATGGAGACTCTGGTTTTCTTCCCCAGAAGAAACCGGCGAAGAAAGATCGGCACAGAAAGATTTGTACCGCTCAAGGGGTGAGACATAGGAGGGTGAGGCTGTCCAGAGAGATAGCCCGGGAGTTCTTTGATCTCCAGGACATGCTAGGGTTTGACAAAGCAAGCAAAACCCTAGGTTGGCTACTGACTGAGTCAAAAAGTGCCATTAAGGAGATAGCAAAGATGAAGAGTACAAGTGGCACAATGCCTTCTACTCCTGAGACCCAAATAGTGTCTGAAGATGGTGACCTGGGGCGTACTGTTTCGGAAAGCAAGACAACTATGGGTGTTTCAAAAGAAAGGGTGAAAATTTTGCAGAAAGCTGCTATCATTCATCCTCCTGCTACAGATTCAACGGAAAATGCCAGAAAAAGAGGAAGGGAAAGGACTAGAGAGAAGATGTGTACCCAGGGGATCCATGACTTAAGAAAATTTCCTGAAACTGGCCCTCAAATCCCGAACCAGTTCAAAAAATCTGAAATTGCCCATGGCATTCTGCCTCAAGATGTTGAAGAACTTGGCTCTCACCAAACCCCAAGGGAAGAAGACATTTTTCAGGAGTCTGTTGTGATCAAAAGGAGGATGAAGCAATCTGCAATTTTGGGTTATCAGCAAAATACCTACTTTCCTGATTTCCCTCAGAATTGGGACATCAATGGTGCAATGCTTCATCCTACCATCTCTGCTGCAACTAATTTGAATCTGTAGCCACCGCAGGTAAGTAATATCTAAGAATTTTAAGATCCCAATCTGATGTTTCCTTTCTTCATCTCAATACAGACTAATTAACCTCAGTTTCAGGACTTCAAGTCAGTGGCAAACTCTGGAGGTTCTTCCAACAGCCACATCCTATCTCTACGCTATATATGTGATGCAGTATGTGCATGAACATATATAGAAATAGTAAGCTATATATACCTGTTTTGTTCCTTTCAATTTCAGAAAAGAGATTGAAGCATCTTTGTTATTAATATGCTTTATTTTCCATATGTATCTCTGAATTGTTACATTATCGCAGTTGGACATATTAATGATCACATATATATAAAGCTTTTATTTCATATCTTCTTTTTGATGTTCCTACATTTGGTGGATGCATGGTATTAAGAAGCTAATTTTTTATTGTTTTTTCTTTTTTATATAATCTACTCCTTCTTATAGTTTTGGTATGGGGTTTATGAGGAACTTATGTTTCTCAGGGAGGGTCTCCTTGATTAGGAGGTGGGTTTCAAGATTGATAAAAGAAAAAGGCATGTTAAAATTAAACTGAAAAATAGTTAACAGTTGCCGAATCAAAGGAATAAAAATATTCTCAAGAAAAATTAATTCTGCTTGTGAATCTTCAGCAGTAGAAGCTATTCAAGATATCAACATTACCACTTAATTTTGAAGATAATCTATAGTTAAGATATCAAAAAAATTGGGAAACTTTATTTAGGGATCAGAAAATTAAGTTTCTGACTGCTCTAGTCAAGAGCCTTTTTCTTCATAAATATTTGATTATTTAGGAATGTTTTAGGCATGTTAAATATAGGAGTATACTAAATATCTATCTAATCATGTAAACTACTCTGAATTCATGATTATACTTAAAATTTTATGGAGGCAACATATATATATATATATATACACCTATTATTGCCTTAACTATTTGTTGGTTTTTCTTTTAAAACAAGAAGAAGATTTCAATAAAGAAAACACATATAGTATATAAGTAGCCACTGGTCTTGTAATGACCTATTTTTTATGGCAATACCATTTAGGGAAGGGATGATTGGAAGGATATATACTAGTGAAGGCTGGGGAGGGGTACATGCATTTCAATGTCGACTGAGGATTCTAAAACTTGACTTATATATATATATATATATATGTATGTATGTATGTATGTGTATGTTTCTAAAGTTCTGATATATACTTCCCTGGGAGGGCTAATTATGGTAATTGTAGAAAATGGGATTCGTTGATCTGCATGTTTACTAATTACTATAGTCCTTCTTGGGGTGTATATATATATATATATATATATATAGGACCAGAGTTTATATATATGTTAGCTATGCATTCATTTTATTTGATTGACATGCAGTTGGTATCTAAGCATAGCTTAATCTGATATTATATAGTTCATTGAATTTACTTGAATGGAATTCATACCCCTAGAGGCTTGAAGATCTATGTTTCTAGAGATTGTGAAATATATATTATGTTTTTTAGAGCCTTAGTTGGGCAAAAGTTGTCTGTTTATTTCAACTGGTCCTGTTATGATGTTCTTCCAAAGAAAGAAAAAAAAAAATCAACAGATATGCACTCTATGGGAGTGTCTACCAGTTAGGTTATTTTTAAAAGGGTCAAAAATCAAGGAGTCTTCAAACTGTGAAAGATATATCATGATCTCATCATGAGTGGTAGACTCTCCCATAAATTGCATAACATGATCTCATCATGAGTTTATTGTCCTTACAAACTGTAGTCTATACTAGTTTGGTAGTGCTTCCAGGATACAATTATATAGCTGGAATATGATCTGTCATAAACAGCTGATATAGAAATTGGTGCACTATTTGTACCCTTGCAATAAAATTTCTCTTTGCCTTTCAAAAGAAAAATGATCTCATCATGAGTAGATATATATATATATATAAATGCATTAAGAGAATTTGTTGTTTGGAGATAAACCACTTGTGTTAATTTGCCTCTATTAATAGTGTTTTTATAGTCGATTAACAAACAGTTGCTAAAAGTAAGTATATGCAGAAAAAAAATGCTACAATTAGGTAAAGTGAAAATAAAACAGATGTGACTATATGATTACATAAATAATTGTTATAATCACATAATTTAATTGTTTTTTTATTAGTTTATAATCTTTTTTTATTAAATTAGTTATGATGTTTAAAATATTTATTTATAAATTAATTTTAATTTATTAAATAATAAATATCAATTATTTTATTAATTATTAATTATTTTTTATAATCAAATTAAAATAAAAACTAATTAAATAAGTTATTAATTTTAATTTATTAAATAATAAATATCAATTATTTTATTAATTATTTTTTATAATCAAATTAAAATAAAAACTAATTAAATAAGTTAAGTGATCCTAACAAAATAGGCGTGTGGCCATAACCTCTGCCGAGTAAAACATCTATTATAGATGTTACATTACATACCTCATTTGAAAACGTTGTAGATGTATATGTAATTGGGAAGTAAATGGTGTTAGTTGTTTGACACATTTTTTGCTTCTCCAAGCTTCCACTTGGAATAAGAGATGGACAATTAATTATGATAGACGACAATCAAAGACCTAGTATCTAACAATAGTATACCTAGTCCAACACTAAGTCGCCATACCCTTTTAATGGAGAGGTATTAGGGTAAAAATTCTTGGATTTTATACCCAACCACTACTAAAATTTTACCCCCAAAAATTCTGTAAGGTTTTTTTATTAAAAAAAAAAAAAAAAAGAGTATGGCTAACGTTGTTCTTCTTTTTTAATTTTAAATGTACTCAAAACCTTAATTTTAGATCAAGAATTCAAGATTAGAGACTGAAATTTCTACAATAATTTAGGCTCTACTTAATATAGTTTTAGTTTTTGAATTTTGAGTTTTTATTTTTTTTTATATATCTAGTAACTATATATTACTATACTTAAAAATTAAGATTTATAATAAAAATTCAAATTTATAA